GGAGTGTGGTGGTGATGGGAGTGTGGTGATGGGAGTGTGGTGGTGATGGGAGTGCAGGGATGGGAGTGTGGTGATGGGAGTGTGGAGGTGATGGGAGTGAGGTGATGGGAGTGAGGTGGTGATGGGAGTGAGGTGGTGATGGGAGTGAGGTGATGGGATATATTGCGGTATTTGTAATATTTGTAATACTTTGCATTTAAAAAAATATATTTTAATACATTTGTTACAGTGCTTTACTGCTTCTGTTTTGCTTTAAGAATAGTTTACTGCAGTAAACTATAATGAGGGGTTAAAAACAAATGATTTAAAATCTTTCTTATATCACCCTGCTGCTCTTGTTCATAGACCTCCTGAACTCCTAATCTCCTGAAGGATTTGGACATATCAGCCGAGCCTCTTCTGAGTCACCTTGGCGTTTCAATGACAGCAACAGGTACTCCAGCTCTTGGGTGTGCTGTACAGTAGGTAAGTGTTTGCAGAAATAGTGGTGAAATAGTGTCTCTGACACAAGGGGCTCTACATGCTGGGCACTCCCGATGAGTCCGTGCCACAGCCATCGGGTACTGAGGAAGGCATTAAACCGCAGGTGGCTGCTTGAGCAAAGCTGTGAGCAAGCGCTGATGACGAGCAGCTGTGATTGGAGGGTGCCGAGGCAGCAGCGGCCGGTTAGCTCTGGTTCTGTCGTTTCCCCTTCGGCGGAGTAGGGGGAGGGGCCTTCGGAATCCTGTCCATCACCGGGCTGGAAGAGGGACCCTGGGGAAAGAGAGGTGAGGGGGCAGAGGGTCGGGGAGGGACGGAGATAGGTGTGACAGGGAGAGCGTCAGGATGTTACAGGATTCACAGCTTCACAAGTTCCCTCAGACTGTTAGAAATTATTTCTGGCTCAGTACCAAGCTAACAGTGACATTGCACGGGCGATCACAGCTAAGAGAAGAGAGATGTATTTTAGACTGAAAATGTTACTTGCAAAACAATTGTTGGAAGATCTTCCAAGTGAGTACTGCTAGAGCAGTAAAGAGGTTTGCATGCAGAGGAGGCTACGTTCTGCAGTCCAGACTAGTGTGAACTGTAATCAACTGTAATTCACTGGGATTCCTAAAACTCAGATTCACAATTGCCCGTTAGGGTTTCCTTATCCGTTAGACGCAAGATAATCAGGGTGTTTACAAATGATTAGTGATTTTTGGCTCATCTTGCTCATTACAGTAGGTTGGTAGTAACTGAATGATCTAAGACTCTCATCTATGTGCTTCTTATACTGTTTTTAAATGGTTGCTTGGTGTCACGAACAATCACACCACAAGAGGACTTGTCCCAGACTCCCATAATCCTCTGTGTTAAGAAGTACCTTAGATTTTCTCTTAAATTCTTTATCTCATTTCCATTTGAGTCTCAGCATTGCCGCTGATATCGACAAAATCCCTTGCATATAGAGTTTATACAGTAAGGATTTTGATTAGCTGAATGAATTCCCCATATAACCTTTTCTGTTCTGTTTCTGTTAAAAAAATTGATTCTCTACATCTGTCCAATTACGACTTTCCATTCTCCGTAACAGAGTTGCAGTGCATAAGGCAGAAACATGGATGATTAAAAAAAACAGCAATGTGCTGTCAATGATGTTAAAGGTGACATTCTGGAATCTTTTGAGAAGTGAGAGAGCAAAGCTATCTAATTTTCTTCTGATAATCAAATAAAAAAATGGCAATCTTCTTTTGTTCAGGTTCTGGAAAGCCTCACTCTCTTGCACTCTCCACCCCTGCCCCAGCACACACCTTCAGAGAGACAGAGCAGCTGTGCCGAGGGGACTCTGGCGGCGGGGTGGTGCTGAACTGTTCAATCACAGACTGGCAGATTTTCCTCGGTATCGGTGGTGGTTTCGCACTTTTCACCCGACCTGGAAAACCAGCCACTCCTGGGGGAGAGAGAACGAGCCAGAGGGTATGACACAGCAGGAGAAGACACATGGAACAAGACGCTTCTGAAAGAGTGGGAGGTGCAAAGACAGAGAGAAACAGCTCCAATATTGTGCAACATCTGGACCCTACTTTTCAAAAGCCCATTTTGTTCTGAAAAATGAGTTTGTATTTCTGCTTGTACCCCACCCAGGATCCCAGAAAACTCGAAGTCCTCCTTAAATATTACCCCTTATCCCAACATTCGTAAGTCTAACCTGTAGGAGATGGGGAGAAAGGGGCGCCGTCGGTCTCTGTGAAGCTCACTAGCTTGACAGCTGACTGGTCTGTGGTGTTCTCACTCGGGTTCAGGGAAAGTCTGGACCCAGTTTCCTTAGCACAGGGAGGAAGGTCAAAGGTTAGGAAAGAAGGAACGATTGCCACAGGTGGGATCAGTTCTTTCTACTGTCAAACATCTACCAACTTAGCACAGAAGTGATCGCCCCTAGAACTGCCTGTATGGAAACAACATTCAGTTATTTCAGTTATTCAGTTATTTCATGAGGTCTGTCATGCAGAGATAGATGGTGTAATCTGGACACATCACTGTAAAAAAACAGCTATGCACCCCGGACATTGAACTACTAGCGGTTAGCTAGCATATTATGTTTCGCTCTCCTCTACTCTGCCTACTTTTAGTCAGTTTGTTAAATGCCCTACTAGAGATAATAAGACTTTGGACTTGCTGTATGCTAATGTCAAGGATGCCTACAGCTCCTCATCACCCCCCCCCCGGTCGATCTGACCACAACCTTGTTTATCTCCTATCTCTGTACAAGCCTCTTGTCCTACGACAACCAGTGACCACCAGGACAGTGAGGAGATAATGCACTGAGGGACTGTTTTGAACAGTCTGGGGGGTACTCTGTGAGCCTTATGGAGATGATATTGATGGTCTTACCCACTGCATCACTGACTACATAAACTTCTGTGTTGACAGTGTAGTGCCCACCAGGAAAGTGCACTGCTTCTCCAATAATAACCTCACTAAATAGGAAAAAGAGGGCTCTTCGGGCAGGTGACAAGGAGGAGCTGAGACGAGTGCAGAAAGAACTGAAGGTGAGAGTTAGGGGTGGCTTATGGGAGGAAAATGGAGGACAGGCTGATGGAGACTAATGTGAGAGAAGTGTGGAATGGCATGAGGAAGATCTCCGGATACAAGCTGTCCGGTGGCCAACAGTGAAGGAGGCCTGGAACGGAGTTGAGGAGACTCCATGCAGGGAAGGCAGCAGGTCCTGACGGTGTGAGTTCTAGGGCGCTAAAGATCTGCTGGACCAACTGGGTGCAGTGTTGCAGTACATCTTCAACCTGAGCCTGAGATTAGAAAGGGGTCCTTCCTCCCGGCGGCTGTCAGGGTGTATATCACTGCCCAAGGCTAGGCCTGTTATCCCTTCATCTGCTCATCTATGGACAGCATGTTCCACTCGTACTTTTGGACACTGCATTGATATACTGTTTATACTGTGTTATTTTCAATCTGTAAATGCCTATTTTGCACATCTTTTATTGTTTTACAGTGACTATTAACATATGTTGCACATATCTATTTTGCTAACTCTATTTATTTTATTTTGTATTCTATATACTTATTAAATTACTATAATGTTGCAGTTTATTTTTAATTTTAGTCTGTCTTGTTGGATGTCTGTCTTTCTTGCGCTGGGCTGCTGTAACACCTCAATTTCCCTTCAAGATTAATAAAGTCTTATCCTATCTTATTTCTGGTCTAAATGTAGATCCCCAATGTTTGAATTAGAATTAAGGTTTTACTTCTCACTTTAGAACACCAGAGGCTCTGCTGGAGTTTAAATCACTTCAGAACTGAGAACAGGTGTGTGTGTGGAAATGGTGCTGTGTGGTGCTGTGGAGGTTTACCTGGACTGTGGAGGCACTCTTAGATCCTGATAGGGAGAGGAACTGGCTCCTTCTCTTCTCTTTCTTCTCAGCACTTTGTCTGTCTTTCTCTGGAGCATCCTTGGGGACTGAGCTACTCCGACTGATGGAGAGGGAAGCAAGAAAAGAGAAAGACAGAAAACCAGTCAGGCCAAAGCAGAGGAACCAAGAGACACAGGCAGAAAACAGAAAGAGAGAAGGGGACAAAGGAAAGGCAGGGATACAGAGTAATTGGAGAAAAATACATTGAGGTTTACAGTACTTACAGGGTCATCAGTGTAATTTTATTACTCAAGTAAACAATCGGAAGCCTCAAATAGGTTGTTCTGCTTCAACTAAACAATGAGAGTTCATCTGATTTGTCAGCACCTGAGCTGCAGAGCACTATTGCAAGCTAAACTGTCCTCAGTGCCTTTTCTCCCAAGGTGGAAACAGGACTTCTATAGGAATTTAGTCCATTTCCTTCAAATGGAACCTTTTTAAATTATTAAATACTTGAGTTGAGTATGGTAACAATGAGATGGTTATTTGAGCTATTTAAATTCTTTGTGGCATTGAACAATTACTAATTGAATTAGTGATTGTGTGCAGTGTTACATTAAACTGACATCAACAAGCACAGTGATAGCAAAGCTGTACAGGGAAGATGCAGTAAGAAAGTAATCAGCCTCTATGAATTAGAGGACTGTGTCAGCTGAAGGCACTTTACACTTGCAAACATTGGCTGCTGTCTCTTCACCACACCACCCAGGGCTCTTTCAATCTTTAGTCATTCTCTAGACCAGCCTGTTGTTTCTAGATCACAGTCAGTCAATTCTGACAATGTCAGCACCCAACCCTACTGTACACCTTTTCCCTCTCGGTATCCCAGTGCAATGTGCTTCAATTCAACTAGGCTATACAGTATATGTTCCACCCATATTATCAAAGCCGATCTAGAAATGATGTAAGAAAAATGCACTATACAAAAAATGTAAAAAAGTAGAAGTGAGAAATAATTAAATCAGAATGAATCAAATGGACAATTAACAACATCACAAACTCAAGTCTTTGTCACCATCCACTCTCCCTTTTTCCATCATCTTCCCTCACTTCTTTCTTTTACCTCCTTCTCTCTTGCATCCTTTCACTGCCCCCTTCCCATCCCCCCTCTCCCTGCCTCACTCTGAAGCTCCAGGTCTTGTCTTGTGTCCGGCCTGTAAAGGAGTGACGGGGTGGCCTCCTGCTGCCCCCTTGAGGAATTCAACATCTATCAGAGAAGCGGCATTTTTGTGTCAGACTGAAGGTCTCATCTTTCCTGTTGTCCCCTTTCACACAGCAAGTGTTTGGCTCACACACTCTGACTTACCTCTGCTTGGTCTTGGGCTCCTCGCGGACTTGAGAGACGGGGGACAAAGGCTTGTACAGGGTCATCATGGACCGTGGGCGCCCCCCACCTGTCCCTGGCTGGAGAAAGCAATGCCAGGAGTATTGGGATCACAGTACAGGAGGCAGAAGCTGCTGCATTGCCTTTCACTGAATACGTTTACATGAGTAACAGAGAGTAAGGGTGATCAACACAGCGTTAATGAATAGAGTGTCCCTGAGAGACAGAGGAGTACTGTAGCTCTATCCATCCAAAAGAGCATTCAGGCACAGAAGTGAGCCTGCAGGAATCGGGGACCCCAGAATTAGGATCAGACTGAACAGAAGACCTTCGAAAGACACGGTGTTATATGGGTAAGTTCTTGACCTCCTGATACAGATATCGCAAATTCACGTTAATTTATTATCATGATATTAATTATCATGATTAATAATGATCTTATTTATAAAAACAATGAGTTAATATGAAAATGAGTTAATGGATAGAAAACAGTATACAGAAGGAGCGACAACGCCAAATGAGGTGATTGAACTAACAGGACCACAGGGTCTCAGTTTGATGGAAGGAAGGACTCTTGTCCCCTGCAGCTGCTGTGTCAGTGTGTTTCACCATGTGGGTGTCTTAATGTCTCAGTCAGTGTGTCAGAGTGCACGGAGCGTCATCCTGCCTCACCAGCTGCCTCATTCCATACTGCTTTTCCACTTTGCTGCGGAGCTGGGAGAAGCACTCCTCCATGCGCTGGTGGAACGGGCGCAGGTCCTCAGTCACCCGCTGGCCGTGCAGCTCTATCCCTTCTGCCAGCAAGGGGATCTGAGAAAAAGTAGCAGGTTAATAAAGGGGAGCGAGGAGGCTTCAGCCTGTGTAATAATAATAATAATTCCCTACACATACAGTATACAGTATAGCGCTTTTCTGGACACTCCACTCAGAGCACTTTACAGGTAACGGGGACCCCCCTCCTCCACCACCAGTGTGCAGCCCCACCTGGATGATGCGACAGCAGCCATAGTGCGCCAGTCCGCTCCCCACACACCAGCTATCAGTGGGGAGGAGAGCAGAGTAATGTAGCCAGTTCATAGAGGGGGGATTATTAGGAGGCCATGATTGGTAAAGGCCAATGGGAAATTTGGCCAGGACGCCGGGGTTACACTCCTACTCTTTGAGAAACACCCTGGGATTTTTAATGACCACAGAGAGTCAGGACCTCGGTTTTACATCTCATCCAAAGGAAGATTTATGTCTCAACTGAAGGACAGCGCCTTTTTACAGTATAGTGTCCCTGTCACTATACTGGGGCATTAGGACCCACATGGACTGCAGGGTCAGCGCCCCCTACTGGCCCCACTAACACCTCTGCCAGCAGCAACCTTAGTTTTTCCCAGGAGTCTCCTATCCAGGTACTGACCAGGCTTACACCTGCTGAGCTTCAGTGAGTTGCCAATTGTGAGTTGCATGGTGATATACAGTAGCTGCTGGCAATGTTTGAGGATGACAATCACAAAGCTTCAGTGGAGGAGACTGGACAATTTGCAACTACTGGTTAAACTTTTTAGTTCTTTGAGTATTTGTCCATAGACTCTTATAACCCAATTTGATATGGTGGAGTAAGAGGAAAACACAGAACTTTCAGTACTTAAATGGAAGTGGAAATTTAAATAATTCAATTAATGAATGACAAAGCAATGGGTATCTATGGCCAGTCTTTGCTTTCTGTTGCAAACATGCTTCTTTTAATTACCAGATAAGGAAAATTAAATATATTACCTGCCAGGCAATTAAGTCCTGAAGCTGCAAGATCCTCCCTTTCTCCTCTGGGTGATCCCTCATGTACTCCTCCGTAAAAAAAGCCTAAGAGAGAGACATAAAGGGACAGACTCACTGATGCTCCTGGACACAGATGTATCATCACAGTCAATGGTCTTTTCTGTGTAGAATACTGTATGTGCAGAAAAATGGTTGATATTTTTACAGATCAGGGGTTTGATACAATAACAATATAGAGCAATCATTACATCAATATAAAGGTTCTTACACAAGCGTGCTATGCAAGTAAACTATAAAGGAAAATAAGCCCCTTAAGTCATGGAATACCGTTACACGGCACATCGATATTGTATTCTCCAGCACAGCTCGATAAACGAGCAGTACTCAGACCCAAACATAGATAGGAGAAATATTTATTAACGCTAAATAACACGACTGTACAATACACAACGATCATACTGTGATCAGATATGTACAGCTCTGTGAGTTCCAGGGCTCAACCTCCTACAGACATGATTGAAGTGGAACACATATGCACATACTGTACACTATTCACGGTTTTATACAAGTACAATATTTGGTATAACAATGTACGGAAAAAAGTACAAATATTCTACAAGTACTCTGTGCTTTAACATCCCATCCCCTGTTGCAGGCACTGAAACAAGGTTTGAAGACCTGGATGGGTGAAGAATTTTCCAGAACACTGATGATGATGACTGTCCTTATTCCTGTCTCTGTCTGTCTGTTCCTATGCAGTGTCTCTGCTGTCCATAAATTGCCTTTGTCCCTTCGTCAGTCCTTATGGAGACTAGCTTAATGGTCTCACTAAGAATGTTACAGACACTGTTGAATATTTATGTTTTAAAGTGGCTGTTTAATGATCAGGTGACGCCAAAATCACAACAATGTGTTCACACTAACCTGCAGGAAGACACACTATCCTCGATGAGAGAAATAATTTCCTCAATGTAAATTTTGTGATAAAGTAAAGTGGTTTATTGAATGGAACAGGTCAAGGTTTATTCCATGCTTAAAAGAAAAGAGACACCAGTTTTTTTTTTCTTTTTCTTTCAACATGGAATAAACCTTTACCTGTTCCTTTGCAGCCTACGCATGCTGAAGCATCTCCCTTCTTGAAGTGGTTTATTAAATGTTATTAGTTGGTGTTATGTTATATGTTAAATTGTTAAAACGACCTGCTAGTTTGGCATTATTATCTTTATGCATTTCATGATACTACCCTGATGGTACTCTCTGTGGAATTAATGGCTGCAGAGGATATTCTTGTCACATGCATTGAAAAGAGGCTGTCTGAGTAGTGTTATAAAATAAGGTGTTTTGTTTAGATGGCTAATTGCCTGACTGTGTGGAGCTCAATTTGTTCTTTGGACTGTCTGGACTGTCTGCTTTTTGTGTAGCTTTGCCTATCAGGTACACTGTTAACCAGACAACTTTGATAACATTGACTAGGATTCTTGACTTACAGGTAATGGGGACTCCCCTCCACCACCACCAATGTGCAGCATCCACCTGGATGATGCGACGGCAGCCATAGTGCGCCAGAACGTTCACCACATATCAGCTATCAGTGGGGACGAGAGCAGAGTAATGTAGCCAGTTCATAGAGGGGGGATTATTAGGAGGCCATGACTGGTAAGGCCAATGGGAAACTACTCTTTTCAAGAAACGCCCTGAGATTTTTAATGACCACAGAGAGTCAGGACCTCGGTTTTACATCTCATCCGAAGGACGGCGCCTGTTTTACAGTATAGTGTCCCCATCACTATACTGGGGCATTAGGACCCACATGGACTGCAGGGTGAGCACCCCCTGCTGGCCCCATTAACACCCCTTCCAGCAGCAACCTTAGTTTTTCCCAGGAGGTCACCCATCCAGGTACTGACCAGACTCACACCTGCTTAGCTTTAGTGGTTGCCAGTTGTGAGTTGCAGGGTGATATGGCTGCTGGCTTGATGTTAGTGTGTATTTTAGTTTTTCTTTTCAAGGGTCAAGAATTTAAAAATCATTCATTTACATATTCATATTGATAAGTATGAATGGGAATTTGATTTTCATTGTAATGAAAAATAATCTGTTCGCCATCTCAAAAGGGATTTTAAAATAGATTGTAAAGTTGAATATTCAATATACTGTATGAAGCACTTAAGCTCACTCTGCAGATGAATCTCCAGTCAATTTCACCAATGCAATTTGCTTTAAATGCTGTTGAACTTACATTAAGCTAAAAAGTAAACCACTAACTAGTTCCCAGTATATGACAGAATATATATGTTTAATTGATATAAATATTTGTTCAACTAAAGATAGGCTCTATTTCACACAGGAATTATGGATTGCAACAGACAGGGTCCTTGGAGACAAAGGCAGCAGGATTGTCATCATGGATAGAGAACAGTACTTTCTAGAGGCGCACAGGTAACTAAAGAACCAGGAACACTACAGAAAAACAACACACTGATCTACCTGCCACTGCAAAGGAAATTTGACAAATCCTCCAGGGCATGGTGGAGGCCACAAGGATCACAGTAAAACTTCTACATACCTTACTACCTAAACTTCACAAACCCCCGAGAGCTGCATGATACCACACATAGTATCATGCGGCCAACCCACAGTATCAGACCGCAGCAGAAAGTCCTACAGTTCTGCAGAATTCATTGACTATTATATCAGCCCAGCCTTCACCAAACACAACAGTTACATCAAGAAGTCTGTGGAGAAAATTAAAGCAAATAAAGCAGGACACCAGTGACGGCTATCCTCTTCAGGACTGACATCGCCAGCCTTTACACTAACATAGACAACAGCCAGCAATCCCACACATCACTGCGTTTCAATCCCAGCCAACAGGGCCCTCAAAAACAAGCTTGAAACACTGCTGGGAGGAAAGATCGTAAAGCAATGCAGAATAATCTCAGCCTACAGGAAAAACAAGAACTGACTGGATATCCTGGTAAGGAGCAAGCTCCCAGCATTAAACACCAGACACACACAGACTCAGGAACATGGACAGACCTTCTCGTACTTGGCGAAGCCGCCCATGACAGCAGCATCCACTATGCCATTTAGCAGCATGGACATGGGAGAAACAGGAAGACGGGCATCACCACGGTGCTGCCTCACCACTCGAGCAATCTTCTCATTGGTCGACTGCATGGTCTCCACAGCAACCTCCACAGGGCTGAGGGTCACCTGGAAGGCAGACAGCTGTGGTGATGTGATGAGAAAGACACAGACTGGCAGCCAGGAAGAGATGGGCAGAAAGGGTGATAAACAGGAGGACAGAGAGACTCAGAGCTGGTGCTGCACACAGACAGAGAGGCTCAGAGCTAGTGCTGCACACAGACAGAGAGGCTCAGAGCTGGTGCTGCACACAGGCGGACAATGCTACAGGACCTTAAAATGACAATACACTCAGCTGAGAATCTAAGTAGGGTAGAGGCAGCAAAGGGAAACAGATCATGATGAAATACAGGCTCAGTGACCACAGCCTCACCATAGAAACTGCACACAGGCAGATAGCCTTTCTGCCAGTGAGGAGAAGCAGGGACACAGATGCACTTTCTGGGATTAAACAAACATTATTACCAAAATAATAAATCTGTACACAGGTGAACAGAGACTCAGACCTTGTGCTGCACATAGTCAGACAGAACCACAGACTTACCGTGTCCATGCTGATGACCTCATACCAGCGCAAGATATCAGGTAGTTTGTATGCTGTTTCATAGGTAGTGCGTTCAATCCACATGGACTGAGAAAGAAGAACAAAATGACTGAGAGAGTGAGACAAAAAATGATTGAAAGGGAATTCAATTATCAAATTGACACAGTTCTCTTTTTTTCATCTTCATTTCAGCTGTGATTATATTCACAAGCAATTATCACATGCCAAGATGACAGACAGTATGACTGACAAGGTGACTTTCGAAATGTTTTGTTCAAGCCCCAGATATGTTCCATCTTTAAAACCTCCTAAAAAAGGTGAAGATCCAAACCATACCTGTGTAAGAGAGTGAGAGGAGGCTTCTGGTGAAATCCACCATCTTGGCTGAAACCTAAGCCATAGGGTGGCCTTGAGCCAAGATGTCAGATTGTTTAATTAGACACACCTGGGTTTTGATCGCAGATCTTGGGTGAAAGAGAACATTTACTGTTTCCCTGGAGGCGGGGTACCAAATGTCCACTCAGGACAATAACACAGTGCAGCCCTCACTACAGATGCCCCTGTCCCTCTGATCACACTCAGAACTATAACAATGCAGCCCTCAATAAAGACGCTCCTGCCCCTACTCACTGCAAATTCATTGTCAGGGTCTTTGGGTCCCTTTCTGATTGGCCGGGAGTATGTGAAGCACTTGACTTTATTGACCTTGTAGAAACTGGAGGAGACACAAGGAACAGAAGTTACAGCCCAATCTGAAACTCCCAGAGGTGATCTTGACAGACACTGCACACTGCACTCATTTCATTCATTACTTCAAAATGTAAAATTGTGAAATATTTTGTTTATTTATGAACTTCTTTGAAACCTCTAACTGATTCTACTTTAGTTGGGAGCTTACAGATGCACGTGTGCACTGACACACCTACAGGAGGGATGAGGAGACAGGAGAAGGGGAGGGGAAGACAAGGAGAAGAGAGGAGTACATACTCCAGAATCTGGTCTGGGACACTCTGGTTCCTGATATGGGCTGGCTCCACCAGGACTGGCTGTACTGTAAAGCACTGGATATCTATGATTCAGTCAAGGACGTTCACCTCTGAAGGAAGAGAGCAAGTCACACATACTCGTGAGTAACATGATTTACTCTGACACACGAGAGGGACTGGGGTACACTGAAACGCACTTGAACAATGCAACTCACTATAACAGGAAAGCACATCCATTAACGAATAGTGACACAAAGACACAATGGCACAGTCAAGACCATGAGATTTTGAAATGAGGTGATTTTGGGAAGTTTCGGTTCAAGAACTCAACTTGACTGTTTACACCACCAACTGCTTCAGCAAAAAGTTATGGGCATAGAGTATGAACACAGATTTGTGATTAAACCATGAAAATAAGAGGCATTTCAACCCAGAAAGGGGTCCAGAAGAAATTATCCTAATCCTTGATGAATTACTGTGGAAAGACTAATTGTCTACCTATTGGCAACTAAATAAGCAAGATGACCAAATGTTCAAATTTTGTAATCCTTATGTATGTTCTAATGTACTGAAGGAATATGAAAATTCTGAGAGCTGCACCTGAGACTGCAGAAGAACAATTATGTCACATTGTCCTGGTACTTCTTGTCTAGTTTTCATCATTCCCTGTGTTTCTGGACCTTGTTGTCTCTCTACCGTCTTTCCAGGTTTCAGAGGATACACTGTCCTGGAGAGCTGTGGATGTCTTCAGTAGGGGGTGCTGTGCTCTTCATCCTCTCTGCACTGGGGAACTGTGACAGCAGCTGCAGCTCAAAGTCTTCTCTCCTCTCATACTCTCGCCCACGGTGGATAAACACCTTGTTCTGCAGAGACGTGTAGAAGGAGAGATCGTGTGGGAAAGAAATGTAGTGGAGGAAGGAAGAAGCATCTCATAGAGAGTCTACATATTCAGAAAGACACTTTTATCCAGTTGAAGGCTGCGGTGGAGCCAGAGCCGTTCTTGACATGCAAAGTGTGCAAGGTAGTATACATCCTGGACAGGACGCCAGTCCATCGCAGGACAGACACACAAACACAGATACCAGGGTCAAATTTCACAGTAGCCATTTGACATATCTTACAGTATGTCTTTGGATTGTGGGAAGAAACTGGAGCATCTGGAGGAAACCCATGTGACCATAGAGAGAACAAACAAAAAGACAGCACCCCAGGACCAGAACTGACCCCAGGGCCCCAGCACTGCGAGGAGGTAATTCTATACAGTGCACCACACCACCCATTCTTAAAGACAGTTACATGTCTTTCTATAAACACACACACAGTACTGACCCTGAGGAAGGAGGGGAAGCCGAGTCCATAGTATCCCACTGCAAAATAATCTGGACTGGGGCGCAGCACCGTCATGATGTTCTGATAGAACTTCGCCTGGACCTGCTACTCTCAGAGAGTGACAGAGACAGAGAGAGACATCAGGAGATACAGGGGATACAGAGTGGCACAGAAAGGGCAGGACAAAGGGCGAAGGGTGTGAGAGTGATGGAGCTCAAAGATGTCCTGGAGGGCTGTGGATGTCTTTAGTAGGAGGCGCAAGGGAGAGAGAGATGGGGGACAGGTCTTTTTTGATGCTGGCAGAGACTCAGAATGGCATCATTGTGAGGTACAAAGAATAACTCCAAAAATCTGTATCCCAGGTAAATAGAAGTGAGACAGTGTCATTTGCATTTGTAATCGTGAGATTAACAGGAATAAGGACAATATAATAAATGTTATTTTTAAGAAATTGTATATAAAATAAATTGCATATATTTTTCATCATATTAGAACAAAATATAATCATATTAGAACAAAAATATTTAGAAAATGTTATCATATTAGAAAGAAAATATTTGCTGAACTTACTGATTACAGTATGACGCTACTGATGTATGATTACATTGCATTGCAGATTGTAAAAGTCAATATTTTGTTTTATATCTCTTTGAGACAATAATTGCATTAAATCTATTACCCACTGAGCTCCCCAAAATTGATGCGATAAATCTAGATACAATGTACAACAAATATTTAAAATTAGGAAAACATTCAAGTTTGTAAAATATCAACAAGGACAAAAATGAAACAAAATTGTAACTTGTCTGCACTGACAGTGTGAAGCTGTCAGCAACCTCAGATTTCTGTCATGGCAAGAACATCACAAGCCTCAGACAGATCAAGTTATTGAGTTTAACTCACTATAAAACCTGCTTCATCAGAGAAAGATTACTTACCTCCCAAAAAAAGAAATAGAAGAATCGATTGAACAGACGTACTGTATTTGTGTTGCTAATATTACAATGTTATCTAAAGAATATAACCCCAAAACATAGCAAACAGACAGAAAGGCCAATGGAGCATTCTTGATCAAATATTCTGAAAATCTATCAGTCAGGTGGAGAAAGTGTAAGTTTGGATCAAACTGCTTTCACCACAAACTAAAAGATTAGGGCAGAAATTAAAAACTACCAGGACCCAAAGACTTAAAGGTCAACGAAAGGTCATGGCAGGAGGTCAGAGTCCAGCTCCACACTGTAGAGCCCAGGAAAAGATGCCAGTGGACAGCATCAGACATGTCAGGAAGCTGCAGACCATGGGAGCAGGGACACAGGACATACAGTACAACTCTTACTTGTAATGGTGCAGAAAGGTCAACCCCAATTACAACGGAGGCACCAGTGTGAGCAGTAATGTAGGAAAAGGTTTTGTATTATCAATTCCTGAATGTTGAACACGAATATTTATACCCTACGCACACTTCTAAACTGTACAATAAAAACACAAAAACAAAAGTAAATGTATCTTGTTTTATCGATTGTAAAAAGCTTTTAGTTCGGTTCAGCTCCCACTGTTTGATGTTTTAGAAGCTTATTTAAAGCTGTGTAAGGGGGATGTCAACAATGTAATCAAACCAATGTTCTCAGAGAATCTGTGTGCAGTGGAAATCTGCAGGAAAAGGAATTCTGCACTCAGAGAAGTGGGTGAGGGAGGGCTGCGGTCCAATTCTGCTCAGTTTTTTCATTAATGAACAACCACAGTAGTCTGTGGACTGTGATAGCACTCTACACAACAGAGAAACTACACTCCTGCTCTGTGCTGATGGCCTAGACCTGCTGTTGCCCACAAACCCACCAGGGAAACACTCCTCCAGATACTCTTACCAGGGTCTCACACATGTTCAGCAAACACATGTAAAGAAAAGGCATGCAGGGGTCTCTGCACTATGAACTATTTATTTAAAATTAAACCCTTTACAAAAATCTTCACCAGCCAAACTCCACCCAGACTGAGTGCGAAAGCGTAGCTCCAGTTGGAGTTCTGTAAAAATATATTTATCAAAAACAGCTCTTGACGACCAGGAAGGGCAGAAAATCTGTAAACGGTAATTCAAAAGAGACAAAGAGGCACTTCCTGCTATACTGTTGCAAAAACAAAGATGTAAGGGAGAAATATTTACAAAAACCTTAGGAATCAGGTGGCTGAACCTCCTAGATAGCAAAACACTGATTCTCCTATTAGGACACTCTTCTTCAGCTAAGAATGCAGCTTGGCTCTACCCAAGTAGAGCGCTGTCCAAAACACTTGTCATTAAGCAGTTCTGACAGTTCTGACTGGCGCTCATGTTGGGTGGTGTAACAAGCACAGCAGGGACATTTGTTATCACTTTGTCAAACAGCCCAGAATGCCTGCCTGAAACAAGGTTTGATTGAATTAATCAGACAGAGGCAGATGGAGAGAGCAGGAGAGGAGGAGTAGGAGCTGAAGGCACCATAAGGCGGACAGCCTCACTGGTCCCTGCAGAGTGCATTTTAGCTGAGTGGAAACAGTGACGTAGAAATATGGGCACCACACGAAAATTACCTGAAGATCCCAAATGAGCCCAATGTCTGTCAGCAAAACTGGCTCTGTGGTGGAGTGGAGGGATTATTTAAGCACTTCATCATGGGGTTTGGCACTCTGTCAGAGGTATTCACAGAACTGACAGACTCTCATTTCACCCTTTCTCCGCCCAGCTCTCTGTCACATCCATCTGTTGTGCTATCCCTCACCCTCTCTCCCCCGCCCTCCCTTCTTTAATATTAATTTCCTGATCTCCCACCCGCTCCTGCTCCCCTCGCAGTCTGACCTCGCTGCCCCCGCTGTCCGCATGACCAGCCCTCCGCCCTCCCACACTCACTGACCAGGATGGCGCTGACCATCTCGTAGTCGAAGATCTCATTCTCGTACTGCTGCGCCAGCTCCTTGCACAGCACCAGAGCCTCCTCCCACATCTAGAGAAGAGCCAGAGAGAAACAGACGGGGAGAGGAGTAGAGGTGGGTGTTGTCCTCTGTGTGACACCAGGAGCAGGGAGCCTCATTAGTGGCACTGAGGCTAAGAGCTGCACATTGGCTTCAGTCTCTGAGGGCCTTTGGTGACCCAGGAGCACATGAGCTCACAGGGGACCTGAGACCACAGGCCTGGGGCCTCACTGTCTCCAGGGTCGCCTTCTGCAGCCTGGCACTGTAGGGAGTCCTGCAACTCCTTGCACCTGCACAGATCTTTCATAGGCACTCCTGTTTCCTTAACTCACAATTACTTTAAGCCAAAATATCATTCTTTTACTTTTTCTTCTTTATGCTTAAATTGATATACTTATTAGATACGTACGGTATACATGACCTCCAAATGCTTTCTGAAAAAGTGAGAATTTTGTTTTTACAAAATGGTAAGAGGTGTCTTGTCGGTTGACAAAAAAACTTGCAAGCCAAAGAGACAGGTGTCTGACAATGCAGTTAAGAAAACTACTGATGCTTAACGCACGAGACAATTCCTGGCTTTGTTCCGGTAAGGAATAAATAAAATCAAAATCCTTCAGCTTGCACTTAACAATTCCTCTTAGTATCTTTACCTCTATAAACATTTACTCAAGCTTTTAAATAAAGATTAGACAGAGGCCAAACTAACATTTTTTTCAGAATCAATAAAAAGCTTTCATTCTGGTGATACTATTTCCAAAGCCTGTATGTCTGGAAGACATTGTCTTCATACGGTGTTCAAAGACTTGTAGGCAGGCAGAGCCAGTTCCCAACAGACAATTCTGAAGTGCTGTGTCCCATGCACGAGAGTGCGCCATTATCAAATGTGATGTCAGATATTGTCAGCTGAATTGCATGACTAAAGAACATTAGGAGGACATTCAGTACTTTTAACCTGTTTGTCTTTTAATAGTCTTTAGAAGTGTTTGTCTTCTAATAATCTGAGAATCTCATCCAGTTGTTTACTGAGAGTATCCAGGGTATCCGCCTCAACAACATGGCTGGATAGCTTGTTCCATATTCCTACAACTCTGTGGGTAAAGACGTGCCCCCTGTTCTCAGTTTTTAATGCTCTTCCAAGCAGTTTCAACCTGTGTCCTCTGGTTCGTGTTTCACTGTTCTAGTCTGCTGGATTGACTTTGTCATGACTTGGATCTGGAGTATTTGGATCAGTTCCCTTTGTAGTCTTCTCTGCTCAAAACAATAAAGGTTCAGTTTCTTCAGCCTGACAGTGTAGGAAATATCTTTAAGTCCTGGAATATTTTTGTAACATAGTGATCAAAATTGTATGTAATAATATCTTACTAGTGCACTGTACAATTTTAGCAAATGATCCCTTGATTCAAACTCTCTCTAAATAATATGTACTACAGTGTACTGTATATATTCTAACGTTCTGTTTGCCTTTAGTATAGCTGTCCAAAAAGGTGCTTTTCAGTTATTATTATTATTATTATTATTATTATTATTATTATTATTATTATTATGCAAAACGTATGCAAATCTCATTAATTTTTAACTGTAGTTGTTAGCACATTCAGTTATCAATGACATATTCTAATCAACTGGCTGAGCGTTAAAGTAAGGCCAGAATAGAACACAATAGAGTATTGTCCCTAACCCTTTGCTCCTACCCAGCTGCAAAGTTTCTGATAACTAGTGTAGTGCAACCAGAAACCAGAATCAGAGGGAGGAGATCGCTGTTCCCCCTGTGTGACAAACTGTATTAACAGTTATGTAAAACTGGGTTACAATACCACAAGGGAAATAAAACTGCTTTCTAATTTGCCACCATCTGTCAAGAGAGCCAGACGATGCATTGGATCCTGGCACAGAATACTGTACCACTGTTTCCCCCATAACCAACTGACTTCCAGCAGATAACGAGATGATTAACACCTGAGAGAACAGACTTTAACTAGGATGTGATTAGGTCAATACAAGAGGATTTAGATAGTATTCAGAAGTAGGGTAATGCATAGAAAATCAAGTGTAATATCAGTACATATTTTTGCATTAAGGAAGGCAATAATGTGCAATATAGTAAGATCATAGAAGGCAAATAACTTAAAGGCATACAGTGGTAAAGGGATTTAGAGTTTGTAGATTAATTGTTCAGCACTGAAGCATTACACAAAATTAAAAAAAATAAAAACAGTGGTCTTAGATACATAAAGTGTGCGTATTGTAAGCTGAACGATGAGGACAGGTGGAAAGTTATTTTGACTTGATAACTGTGGAAAAATTAAGCTTCTATCGTTGTTTTAAAATTGTCTTTCAACAAGTTTACAGTTCTATTCCATTGTTCAAGAGTCTGCTCACATGTCTTTTAAGTGCTTAATGTCACTTAAATTTACAGAAATATAATGAACACAGGAGGGCTAAAGGTCATCTGTTTATTATGTTCTCACTATTGACGTTGTACTATACATTTTTGTATAACATTGGTTGTGACAAGACAACATAAGAGAGAAGAAGAAAAAACCTTAAACAGCTAAATGACTATGTGTTTGACTTTTCCAAACATTAGAAAATCAATGGATTTTTCAGTACCTTGCCCTTGTCAAAGTAGTCAATTATCTTGTTGTAGAGACTCTCCTTCACCTGTCTGTGGGTGTGCAGTGTCTCAAAGCCCTGCATCTGTGCTGAGAACGGCTCATCAGACCACTGCCAGGAAACAGAAACAGTGAGTCTGCACATGCAATGAGCACAGTTAGAATAAACATGCATATTTAACAGCCCAACCCACCCAGAAAACACACCCAGAAGAAGGGATGAGATAAGCACTGCATGCACACTGTGAGAAACTCAATAGAATTGTATCTCAATAATAACACAGTGTGTGATCTCCTGTCCCAG